CATGCGCCTTGGGGCAGATGGTGGGGAAGGTGCTGGGGCTGCACTGCCACAACAAGAGTTGGGCCTCTCATGGCTCCCCTGGTGTCCAGCTGTGGGACACTATCTGACAACTTGAGGTTGTAAGTATTTTTGGAATTCTGCCCCAAAATGTTACTGACTCCTGATATGCACCATTGTTTCCATTGCAGTTAACATATCGTAACCATGGATATGGCTTTTTCCTTATCTAAAAAGTATAAGTGGAAAACCATTCCAAAAATAGAAACAAAATTGCCAATAACTGGGCCTGTGTATTTTATGATGCAGTACTCATTTCAGTTGCCATAGAAATCAGTCCTCACTTGGTAAAAAAATATGCTTTCAAATTTCAGTCGTCATTTTTAAATGTTTCTAGCCATGAGCTACATCAGAGAACCTTGCTTCAAGGGATTGTCATGTATTTTGTTTGCTGCCTTGGGCAAGACATGTGGACTGAGGTTAGCTATGTTGCTTAGATAGATAGGTGATACCTTAACTATTTCAGAAACACTCTAATTTGGGATACTATAAAGAGGCGTACTGATGCATTGCCTCTAATTTTAAAATTGTCCAAATGTTAGTACAAATATCAAATTAGATCACTTTACCTAGGTTTGAGGTCTTAAATCATACATCAGAAGCTCTATCCAGCAGGAACTAGACATTATTATTGTAAGGTTGTAAATAGAGCTGATTTTGTGTGTGTGTGTGTGTGTGTGTCTTTCAGTTGGTAAATGTCAGTTAGTTAATCCCAAAAGTGTGCAAAGGAAAGAGTTGATTTCAACAAATTTTTCATTAAAAATATATTGAAAAAGTCAAAATTGTCAAAAGTCTCATTTGGACACCTAAAAAATAAAATTCTGTATTATTAATGCTTATTTTTGTTCCAAAATTTCAAAATGAAATATATTTCAAAATTATGTTTGGAGTCAATTTTTTTAGATAAAGAATGATGTTTTATTTTTACCTTGATTCAAGGCATTGTTTTCATCCCCAGGACAGGAAAACCATTCCCCACCCAATTCCCTCATTCAGTTCTCTTTTATGAAAGATCCAAGCTTGTATATACTCTGAATCAGTAATAACCTCGGGGAGTCGAGACTTTTCAGTTGAACTGTTTTTAGATAAAATTTCAATTTTGGGGAAAAAAAAACTATTCAACTTTCTATTTTGACTCAAAAACATGGGTTGTCAAACTGAATTGAAATGTTTAGTTTGGGTCAGTTCAACATTAATTTATTATGATGTCTTATGAAATTTGTAGTTTGGATGCCTCATGGTGGATTCTTTTCCATGCCTCGGCCTCTTTTACTGGACTGATGCATCAGTCTCTTCTTTATTTAGATAGGTGTGGTACATCATAAATGCTCCACAATGGAGAAGCATCTGTATTACTGTGCTGAATTGCAGAATTATATGATTTTGCTGCATTTAAATTGATATATTTGATGTGTAGATGCTTATTTCATTGTTAGGGAAAGAAACTAATATCCTGACCACAGAATCCTTGAACTAAAAACCAGTGCTATTTTACCTACCTTTTAAAGTCAGCTTGTGATACTGGTTCTTACATTTTCTGTTTGAAACAATGTGTTGAAAAGAAAGATGTGTATAACATCTTCATCAATATGAGAACAATAGAATTTGACACAGTAGCAGACAAAACATGTTCTTCAAGCAGCGTATTGGTGTGACCAGCACAGACATGTGTAGAATACCAAAAAAATAAATAAAGCATTTAAGATCATTTCTCTCTGTCTTGTTTCCAGATTCTATTTTTGGTCACATTGTCTTTCTCCTGGCAACTATACCTTTCTGAACAAGTCTGCTGATTTCAATGTCTGTTTTGTCTACGTGATTTAGGACTTTAACTGGTGTTTGCAGTCAGGGCTAAATAAAATTTCAAAAAGAATTATAATACAACCTTTCATGTTCATTTTTAGGAAAGAGAAATATATTCACCCATGCTTAACAGTTGAACTATAGTGCTAGAAGTCCTTCAAAGTATCTATTTTATTGTTTTCTTCAATTTGATATTCCAGACAAATAGTCGGGTCTCTTTCTACCTCACACTCTAAATCAAGGGAATTCTAGCTTGTAACAAGAAATATGTTGCAAGCTTCCAAAGACACCCACACACACACACACACACACACCCACACACACCCCCACACCCCCACACACACACACGGTTTCTGAATAATGCATATGAAAAGAAAGTGTAAACCAAACAGTCCTGTTATGCCAGTGAGTTTATGGTGACGTTTGTTTGTGATTTTTCATCGTATAGACAAATTATTTATTCATTTATACAATTCCAGGTGTTATGAACTGACATTTCAATATTAATACCATATATTTTTTCTCTCTCAAAGTGGAAAAATTACAGGGAGATAGTGATTGGGATCTGATTCCTGCTTTTTTACTTTTTTTTTTGTTTTAATTTACAGATCTTCAAACTACTGGCTAAACCGCATCCAGTCTTTTCTATATTGCAATGAAAATGGTCTTCTGGGAAGCTTTTCTGAAGAGACTCATTCATGCACTTGTCCTAATGACCAAGTTGCCTGCCATGGGTTCCTTCCGTGCATTGTAGGTGATGGCTCTGCATGCTTGATCTGTGCACCTGATAACCGTACCCGCTGTGGAAGCTGTAACACTGGATACATGCTGAGCCAAGGGCTTTGCAAGCCGGAAGTGGCAGAGTCCACAGAGCATTACATTGGGTTTGAGACAGATCTCCAGGACTTGGAGATGAAGTATTTATTGCAGAAAACAGACCGGAGGATTGAAGTCCATGCTATTTTCATCAGCAATGACATGCGCCTCAATAGTTGGTTTGATCCCTCCTGGCGCAAACGGATGCTCCTTACCCTTAAGAGCAACAAGTACAAGTCTAGCCTGGTCCATATGATACTGGGTCTCTCTCTTCAAATTTGCCTAACTAAAAACAGCACCTTGGAGCCTGTTCTAGCTGTTTATGTCAACCCTTTTGGTGGCAGCCACTCTGAGAGCTGGTTTATGCCTGTGAATGAAAACAATTTTCCAGACTGGGAGCGGACTAAGCTGGACTTACCCCTTCAGTGTTATAACTGGACGCTGACACTAGGCAACAAGTGGAAGACATTTTTTGAAACAGTTCATATCTATTTGAGGAGTCGAATTAAGTCAAATGGTCCAAATGGCAATGAAAGCATCTACTATGAACCCCTGGAATTTATCGATCCCTCACGGAACCTGGGCTACATGAAAATCAACAACATCCAAGTGTTTGGCTACAGCATGCACTTTGACCCAGAAGCAATTCGTGACTTGATTTTACAGCTGGACTACCCCTATACTCAGGGATCGCAGGACTCAGCACTTTTGCAGCTATTAGAAATAAGGGACCGTGTAAATAAACTCTCCCCACCTGGCCAACGTCGTCTAGACCTTTTCTCTTGCTTGCTCCGTCATAGACTCAAGCTGTCTACCAGTGAGGTGGTAAGGATTCAATCTGCTTTGCAGGCCTTTAATGCCAAATTGCCAAACACAGTGGATTATGACACAACCAAATTATGTAGTTAACCATAAAATGTGAAGCACAACACAAAACCTTGAAGGAGTTTTTAAAGTGCTTTTGTGGAACAGTTTATGTTTGGAAGAGTAAATTTAAATTGTCTTTTCAATATCTGTCTTATATCAGTCAATACCGTTGGATGGCAATTTACACACCTGAACTTGCTGACAATGAATATATTATACTTGCAGTTTTGGTTTATGAATGAAATAAATACTGACACCAGTCTAGAAGACATTCTACTTTTTACAATAAATTTCATTTGTAATTTTATATGTTCCGTGGCAATGCTTTTGTGCATTACATCCTCTAGAGGGAACATAAAAGGATACCAATAAAATTTTGTAGCTGAACAGTTATTAAAAAGAAATGCTGTGGGATTCTTTTTTTTTATTCACAAAATGAGTAATAGCCTTGATATACTTTTGTGTGTGTAGTATATGGGAGGAATGGTGGGAAATAAATGGTAATATGTTGCTTTTATATAAACTTTAGAAATCCAACAAAATCTGGTGTTAATTTTGAAAGAGACAAATCCATAAGTTCATCTTGAGGCTAACTGACATCCATGGTTGATGGTATGCTTTTCCCTGCACCTTTGAGACACTTTATGGACTTGCCTTTTTGAAGCTAGTGTGCATGATGATCAGATTCCCAGAGTGGTAATATTGTCCATATTAGAATAGACATCATGCCTGTACTGATGTTCTGCAGCATACAAAGGGATGAATGGTTGCCTTATCTATTAGAGCAGGTGGAAAGCTAACTGATATCCAGCAGCTTACAGCTGAGAAAGTCCTTTCCAATGGGAATGTGTTTAGTTTCCAAAATGATTTGCTTTGCATGCTTGTTCACATATTTATTTAAAAATATTTAGAGAAATATCACTGAGTGAAATAGAGTAAACAGATACAAACAATCTTTAAGTAATATGTTTGATCTATCTAGCACAGGAGCTGGCAAAATAAGGCTCATGGGCTGTATCTAGCCCACTAGGCAATTTTATCTGGCCTGCGGGCACCCACCAATGAATTCTACCCTGTCCACCCTTATGTGCCTTGCTCCCATCCTTGAGCATGGAAGGGCCTGGCCCAGCCAGCACACACAGCTTCTGGGCATAGATGCTGCTGTCATTGCTGCAGCAGCTGGAGAACCTGTTCTACTTCCCTGGCCTCCAGTGACTCATCCTGTGTCCCTGCTGCAGCACTCACTCCAGGCAGCAGATAGGGATGCTCCCTGATACCATGCGCAACTCCTGAGACTCCAATGGAAGTGGAAGGGAGCCCTACACCCTGCTTCACAGCAGAGTCCCAGCAGCTGCCCATGGTGGCATGGAGTGGAGAAGGAAGCTGGCTATATCGCATGGGGTTTCCGCCCCCAGTGGCACGCAAGTGCTGGGAACTGCATGTGCACCACAAGGAGCCCCATGCAATAGAGTCAGGCCAGCCTGGCTCCACTCCTTGCCACCACGTGTAGATCCTGGAACTAGCCAGAGCCATGTGCTGATGGGTGCAGCACCCGTGTGGGCCCCAAGCATCCCAAGGGCCCACCACCTACCGCTACTGTTATCACTGGTGGGGGCTATGTGCCATGAAGGGGGGGGGATGTGAGGGGGTCCCCTCACCCTTCCTCAGACCCCACACACCCACAACCTTCCCACATATACACCCCCCCACAACATACCCTACACCTCCCACACACAGCCACCCTCACAACCCCCACACCCCACCATGCACGCACACCCATGCTCTCACCACAACCCGCACACTCCCCCACCCACAATATACTAGAGTAAGACTTTATTTTTGAGCTATTATGCAACCATCTCTATATACACTACACAAACGCAAATCATGACAAAAATATTATTTGAAGTAAAATTAAAATATGTTATAGTAGATGTTTATATATTTTGTTTTCTTTCTGGTTCCAAGTTGGTAACACCCCTCCTAAAAGGAGTACTTCTGGGGGCAAGGGGAGAGACAATCCCAGGCAAAGTTCAGGTGTCAGGGGTGGGACTTCTGGTCCCAAGTTGGCACCGAAGGGGTGGGACACCTGTCAAGGGGCCAGGCTATCCTTGCAGCCCTCAATAATTCACCAAAACTAAATGAGTGCCCTCTAGCCAAAATAATTTCCTGCCTCTGACGTAGAACAATGACTCTCAAGCTATCTGGAGATCAACATCGATCCTGCTGTTCTCAAGGATCAGTTAGTTAAATAATTGCCTTTAAAATTCCTGCCTATTTAGGCATCCCCACCCCCCCAAAGAATGAAAAATATATACACCTATGATAAAATACCCAGCTGTGAAGGTTGTTGGGCAGTGCGGGATTTGAAAACACTATAAAAACTTTTTTGTTGTAAATTTAATCAACACCTCACTGAAATCTAGTTAATTGAGGTGGGAGAGGGGAAGGAATCCATTAAAGCACACTTTTACCTTTTTAATTAAAATTAGGTTAAACTAAAATTGCATTGTTATTCAGAGAACCTCATTCAGCAGCCTAAAATTTGACCTGGCTTCGGAGATGTTACTTACCCAGTAGTGACAGTGTTTGAGATGTGCTAGTAGGATCAATAACCCTTTTTCATATCAGACGTTCTTCTGATTCCAAAACCAGTCTGCTATATGTGGCTTGGACTGTAATGATGAAGGGAAGAACAAGCTTCCATCTTTCAAAACTGAGAGACTCAGCTCTTCTAAAAAACTGTCCCAACTGGTAAGAAGCCTTAAGTTGATGACAGGGCAGTGTGGCACTTTACAGGTTAATTTGTTCACAGAGGCATGAGATTTCATAGAAAGCTTTACTGCATCATAAAATAAAAGTGCACTAAGAGTTGGTTTATGGAAATGTACTTATTAAAGGCAACCAGTTAATTGACATTATGTATATTTCACAGTATATTGGTAACATAGTCTTAGATTATCACATTCCAGTTACAGTGAGACAAATGGGTGTAACTCCTTTGACTTCAAAATGCACCCGTGTATGACAAATTCCAGTGTGTCTCGATGGCTTTAGGTGTAAATGCTAGTTTTCGCTGCAATGAGGACCCCCCCCCCAACAACAACTGAAGGAGGAAATATACTGTTTTATTTTTAAGTATGAAAAGAAAAACAGAAATTACTCAACTTGAGCTAGGAAAGTTCCGGTTAGTTATGTTGCAATTTCAATCAAAATCAGTAGGCTGTACTCCTAGCTTAGTTCTTAGCTAAGACATGGCTAACACAAGCAACACTATATTATATGAAATATAGCCAAAAGTAGTGTGAACCTAGAAAACAAAATTCAAAGTAGACTACAGCAAAATGAAACCTTTACTAATAATCAAATACTAAGATTATGCTTAGTAACCTCTCCCTTTTCTAACTCCATCAAAAAGTTTTAGTCATAGAATTACACTAACACATCCTCTCATTTGGTAACATAATAGGGAGGTGGGGTGGCAGGGTTGATTGATTCTTTTGTGGTTAGTTTTTAGCAGCCTTGTCTTCTTGTATCCTTCCTTTAAGTCACTGCTCTAAATGTCAAAGTTGTGTGTCAATCTTTAGCTTATTATTGCATTGGTAAGACATTTCTTGGTCCATATGGCCATTTCTCTAAGTGTCTTTTACATATGTTTGGAAGGTTCTTTTATCATTGTTGGGCAATATTATTAAAAGAAGGGGCTTTAACAATCTGATCCTAATTTGTCAGTAACCACATTGTATTATGTGTTTTATGATCCTTTAGGAATACTAAAAGTGAACCATGCAAAAACTATTTTTAGAATGTATTAGGTACATTAAGGAAAAATTAAGGTTAAAATGGTTGAAAATTAGAAATCAAAGAAAACATTAGCTTTTTTAAAAATATATTCTTATGTGCGGGGAAAAAATCCTCATGTTTCACTTGAATTATTCTAATGGTCTGAGGTTTCTTACTCTCCCTCTCTCTCCCTTCAAAAAAAAAAGAGAAAAAAGAAAAGAAAATTAAAAAGAAAAGAAAAACTCATTGATGGAATAAAGCTAAGCATCTCTCTTTGGGTAAAAATTCCATTTCTTCTTTGTCTGAAATTGAGACCTCCTTCTAGCCCTAGAGACTTACAGAAATGGAGCACAAATGGAAAAAGGGAAAACATAAGTATGTCTGAAAATGGAAGAAAACCTTAGCTCCAACTTGCTTCAACAAAGAGGATTAAATACTTGAAAGCTCTCCCTCTCCTGACTACCTCCATTTCTAGGCTTTGGTACATTATTTCAAAGTATTTGGAAAATGCAGGTAACAGATTTAACAAATATGTTCCAAAAGAAGGGAGCTGAGTGTATTCAAGAACACTTTACTGTTTTCTTGTTCAGGATATAATTTAATACTGACCTGAAACCTGGCTCTGCTTTTGGGTCATTAGACATAGTAATAGGAACTTACTCTTTAAGTAAATACTTTATTTGATTAATAAATGTTTTCCCTTTCAGTGAGTAGTCCCTGTCAGCTTTACTACAGAGTATTTAGAATAGAGAGTTACTCACTATAAAGCTTCTTGCCTTACAACAACGCATATAACAAACTAGAGCAAACTATTCTATGGCAAAGCAAATACATAGCATAAACATAGCAAATGTATGTATAGCTTAAAAAAGAAGCAAATAAGTGAAAAGTGATTGAGAATATCTAAGAAAAGAGAAATTTATCTGGTGAACCAGGTTAGACTATGGACATTTTATTTTAATAAACTGTATAATTTAATCTGTTACTGTCCATGGCAACACATTACAAAACACAAAAACAACATACATAAGTTCTTTCCTAATTTTGCTTTAAGCAGCTTCATATTTGCCAAATTAGAAATTGGAATTATAAATGGATGTGGTCTCAGTTCACAGGATGATTTTGCTTTTCATACAAGGCCCTTGTTATGAAAAAAATATGTGAATCACTGCTGTGTATAATCCTAACAATACCCCAGACATCTCAGGGACTGCTTTTAAAATACTTTCCTTTTCCTTTTTTGTCCCTCTCTTCTTTTTTTTAGTTCTATTATAAAACAGAGGCTAGTTATAGTAGGAAGTCTATATGGCATATGGACTACCTGTTTTATATTTTTGCAGTTCTGTGCAAGTACAGTCTAAGGGCAAATTTCTTCTGGTTGAATATCACATTAGGGGCTGCCTGGAGGAAGGTGACCCAACTACTTCAATTTTTCCTGTACCTGGCTGAAATTCAGTCTCCTTACAGCATAGCTGATACCACCAAACGTGTAACCATTTTAAAGGAGAGAGGGATTGCCTACCATGAAATGCTGTCAATTATCTATTTTGCTACATCTTATATAGTGCCTCAACACCTATGTTGTCAACAATATGTTGCCAATAAAAATAAATGGGAGTACAACTCTATTTGCAGAACTGAACAAAGCATATTTTTAAATAGCAAACAAAGATGCAGGTTGGAATGGTGGACCAAACTAGAACCATCAATCTTGCAAACTAATTGAGATGCTAAAGCTCTACCACAGGGGGTGTCAACCAGGGGCATGTGTACTCCTGGGGGTACTTGGACCAGTCCTAGGGGGTACACACAGGTCGGTGGGGACAGAGCACTGCCGCCTCCCAGGAGTAGAGCTGGGGTGGGACAAGGGCAGTGGCGCCCCTCTGTGGGGCGGGGAAGCTTTCATGTGACAGCTGCTGCTGCCACATACCAGCCCAGTGATCTTCCCTGCCCTGCAGAGGGGTGCCACTGCCCTTGCCTCACCCCAGTCCTGCTCCTGGGAGGCAGCAGTGGTGCTTCATCCCCACCCACCCGCATGCTGTCCCTGCCTCCCTGCTCCATGTGCTAATCCCTCCCCCATACACTCAGCATTCAGCCTATGAGCTAACCCTCCCCGCCCCCCACCGTCTGGCCTTGTGCTACCTTCCCGCTCCTGCTCGTCCGGCCGCTGGGGGGTACTTAGACTGAAAAAGGTTGAAAACCCCTGCTCTACCACACGTACACAAAAAGACTCCAGACCAATGGCTCTCAACCTTTTTAAGCTCAAGGCACGACTTCATAACTTTTATGAATTCAGTGATGCCTGCAGATGTCACTAACTTTTCCCAGCACAAAGGAGACATGACCCTTCCCTGCCAATTTTTTTTCTTGATGCATGAAGCCCGGGGGGTGTCCCTTGCCTTCAGGGAAGCACAGGAATAGGGACAGCACTGGTGGTGGTGTTGCTGGTTTAGACTCTGGGGTGGGCTAGCAGCA